AGCATGGGCCGTGGGCACGGCCGTGGAAGGGGCAGAGGGCGAGGACGAAGATTTGGCAGCAGTAACTTCAGTGGAGGCCGTGGTAATGGAGGATGTGGCAGCAACAACAACAACAATGGCTACGGGCGTGGGCGCGGTCGATTTGATGGCGAATGCCACTTTTGCCACAAGACCGGCCACATGTGGAGAGATTGCTTCAGATTGCCTGATGGATGGACCCCTTCTCAAGGCCAAGAGGGCAGAGGAGCAAGGGGAGGAAGAGGCAGAGGTCGTGGAGGCCATGGTGGCCGTGGAGGTGAAGCGGCAAGCATGAAAGGTGGAGACTACGACAAGGACTCGAGTGAAGATCGATACCCGGGCCAATTCTTCTTTGTCTCCACGCAAGCGGCAGCTGCAGCAAGAGGTGTGGAAGGCTTTGAGGAGCCAGCTACTGTGGGAAAGGTCACCCTTCACTCTCTGGACTTTTGGGTGATCGATAGCGGCGCCACCTATACCATGACACCTCGTGCGGACTTGCTCACCGAACTCGAACCGTCGCCGGTCAAGCATATTACATCGGCTTTGGGGCAGCGAGCAGAGGTGAAAGGCATGGGCAAGGCCATGTTCAAGGGTGCTGATGGGAAGATGGTGGGCCTCAAGAACGTGCTTTGGGTGCCCAACCTAGCAGCCAACCTGATCTCTGTTCGGCGTTTGCAAAAGGCCGGCATGGACACATCTTCCAAGGGTTCCAAATCCTATACCGCGAGGCTTGGTGAGCGGAAGCTTTGGGACCTTCATGAGGACAGGGACATCTACAATGAGATGTGGCAAATCCAAGTTGTCCCCATGCCTAAGGGGAGGCAAGTGGCAGCAAGCGTCAGCACCAAGAGTGAAGCGGTTGGTGGCGGTGATCACGGAAAACAAAGTGACACCAAGAGTGACTCGAAGGAGTGCAACCTTGGAGAGACCAGCAAGGCGTGTGAACCTAAGGAGAATGGTGCAGCAGCCAAAGGTGGTGGAAATGAGGAGGATAAGCCTAAGATCAGCAAAGCAGCAGCGGCAAAGGAGAAAGGAGAGAGCTTGTGGGGCACGATTGCGAGTGCCGCTTTCTCCAACCCGACTTCCGCTACGGGAGAGTGTGATTGGCTGACCTTGCATCGGCGAATGGGGCATGTGGCATTGCCCATTTTGCAGCAGATAGTTAAGCAAGAGATGGTCAGTGGGATACGTGTCAAGGGGGAGCCCAATGAGGTGCTTGGCTGTCCAACATGCATGCAAGCCAAGTTCACTCGCTACCCGTTCCATAGCTCGGAGACAACGGCGAAGGCACCACTTGATGAGGTGGTGATGGATGTGGTGGGCCCCTTGAAGCTTGGAGCTGCTGGAGCTGAGTACTTCCTCACCATTGTGGATGTCTACACTCGCATGACCTGGGTATATGTGCTGCCGAAGAAGAGTGACGTAGCTGAAACGGTGAAGACCGATTGGTTGCCGATGGTGGAGCGGCAACAAGACCGACTTGTGAAGGCGATTTGCACTGACCGTGGGGGAGAGTTCCTGAGCAAGGATTTCTCAACTTGGCTGAAGAAGCAGGGCATAAGGCACTCTCTTACCATGCCCTACTCTCCTGCAATGAACGGCATCGCCTAGCGTGCGAATCGGACACTCACGGAGACGGCTCTGGGACTTCTCATTGAAGCCGGTCTACCCAATTACTTTTGGCCGGATGCGGTGCGTCATGCTTGTTTGGCCAAGAACAGAGCCTTGACTCACGTGGGAGAAGACAAATGGGTGCCCTATGTGGAGTGGATTGGAAGGAAGCCGAAGGTGGATATGCTTCGAGTGTTCGCGTGCATGTGCATGGCACTTGTGCCTAAGAAACTTCGGCACAACAAGCTTGATGCCAAGGCAACATGGGCCGTGCACCTGGGCATGGCTCAAAACAACAAGGAATGGCTTCTTTGGGACCCATTTACCAAGAAGTTCCTGGTGAGCAGAGATTGCAAGTTCATGGAGAACTTACCGTACAAGGAGTGGAAGGCGGAGAATCAAGCGAAGATTGGTGTGCGGCTTGGAGAGGTGAAGAGTACCGGCTTGGAGCATGTGGAGCTGCCCTTGGAGCTGAGTAGCAGCAGCACTATCACAAGGCAATCTTCTCAAATGAATGGGGGAGAAGAGGAGGAGGAGGTGCAGCAAGGTGATGAGCGTGCACCGTCACTTCCGCCTCATGCTACAAGTGCTCGTGGGAACCGACCAGATTTGGAGCAACGCCATGAGAGCATCCAAGTCCCTGCAGCAGAGGAGAAAGGAAGGGGGAGAAGGAAGACTCATCCCCCCAAAAGGTTGAGCTATGAACGGCTTGGAGGATCAGCCAACTCAACCTTGACCGGTTCGGCCCTCATGCTAGGCGATGATGCGGAAGATGAAAGCGAGGAGTGCGCCTTTGCTTTCTTCTCTCCAGTGGAGATCCCGGAGGAGCCTACAAATCCCAAGGAGGCTTGGGAGGGCCCCAATGGGAAGGAGTGGAGGAAGGCCTCAGATGAAGAAATGGGGAGCATCATCGAGAACGACATGTTTGACTTGGTGAACCTACCTCCGGAGCGTAAGGCGATTTCTTCCAAGTGGCTCTTCAAGCGCAAGACCGATGCCGACGGCAACATTGAGCGCTACAAGAGCAGACTTGTAGCCAAGGGGTATCAGCAGCAAGAGAAGAAGGACTACAATGAAGTGTATGCCCCTGTGGTGAAGGGTACAACCCTTCGAACCCTCTTCGCCGCGGCGGCCATCAAAGGATGGGTGGTGAAGCAAATGGATATAGTAACGGCCTTCCTCAACAGCGTTTTGGAGGAAGAGACCTACATGGAGCAGCCAGAGGGGTACAATGATGGGAGTGGCAGAGTGTGGAAGCTGAAGAAAGCACTCTATGGCCTCAAGCAAGCCCCTAGGCAATGGTACATCAAGCTGCGGGAAGTCTTGGAGGCGATCGGCTTCACTCCCTCAACGGCCGATCAATCCTTGTTCATGCTTGGCGAGGGGGAGCAGAGGAGCTTCATGGTGGTTTATGTGGATGACATCCTCATATTCTCACCCTCCTCTGACCTTGTGAAGGAGGTGATGCTGAAGCTTCAAGACAAGTTCAAGTGCAACACCCTTGGTGACGTCAACTACTACCTTGGGCTTCACATTGAGCGAGATGTGGAGAAGCGGTGGATGCGAGTGCATCAAAAGAAGTACTTGGAGAACTTGGCTGCAAGCTTTGGGAAGACTGAAGGTCATGTGGCTACTCCTCTTCCCTCAGGGTTCAAGTGTGTGAAAGGACCAGCGGAGGAAAGTGTTAGTGAAGAGGAGAGGCGGCGTTTTCACTCCTTGGTGGGCAGCCTCATGTATGCGGCCGTTCACACAAGGCCGGATGCAGCCTTTGCTACCGGGCAGCTGGCTAGGGTTGTCCAATGCCCTAATGAAGAGCAGGTAGCAGCTCGGGAAAGGGTGGCCAAGTACCTTGGCCAAACAGCAACTGTTGGACTGCAATACTCTGCGGCGGCACAAAGGCGTCAAAAGGGTGCGGATGGAGTCGAACCCGGGAGGCTCTTTCTCACCGCCTTCTCTGATGCATCTTGGGCATCAGAACTAGAGGACATGACAAGTGTGGGAGGCTTCATCTGCTGTGTTGGTGGAGGCCCAACAGCTTGGGAGAGCAAGAAGCAAGTGGACCAAGCATTGAGCTCGGTGGAGTCCGAGTACATGGCACTCTTCCGTGCCATAAGAGAGGTTGTATGGCACCGGCATTTGCTAGCTGAATTGGGGGAGGAGCAGCAAGGACCTACCCCACTCAATTATGATAGCCAAGGTGCTATTGCATTGGCTAAGAACCCGGTTCTTCATGGCCTTACCAAGCACATGAAGGTGAAGTGGCATTGGGTGAGGAGCATGGTAACCGCGGGTGAAGTGGAGTTGCACTACGTGAAGACGAGGGCGCAGCCTGCTGATATGATGACCAAGAGGCTGGTTGAGCAGCAGCATTGGAAGTGTTGCAAGCTTGCTGGGATGGCTCTGAACTAAGGGGAGCAGATTCTAAGGCCAACAATCCGAGGGGGAGTTTGTTGGTGCAACCCTATGGCTTGCACTCGGCTTGTCGTCCTTGTTTGTGTGTGTGCATGCATGGCATGGAATGAATTGTGAGTCTATGTCATTGCTATCTAGTTCTTGTGTGTGTGTTTGAATGGTGTATCACAATGTGGTTTGTGTCGGTCAAGACATTAGCGAGTTTTACAACTCGCATGTCAAGTCGTCGTTTGTGTGTCGCATGTGTTTTTTCTATTTTGTCGAGTGTGAAGTGTTTATCGTGTCGCAGGTGTGTGCAGCAAGCCCCCATCAACTCAAGAAGAATTTATCTTGCAGATCCAAGAACAAGAGCTCAAGATTTCAAGCCCAAGGGACGCGGATAAATATTAAATAGTGAAAATAGTAACGTTACTTCGGGTAGTGTTACATTTCACTTGGTGTAGCCCCTTGGAGGGTTGGTTTCGAGACTCTTCATGGTTGGGGACTCTGTGGTGGTGTACCACCAACCTGGACCTCGGCTCTTGGGGTATGTAGAGGCTGGGAACCATCTCCCTCTCGAACTCTTCTTGCTAAGTTTGTACTCCTAAGACTATTGTGGCTGCTATACCTCCTGCCATTCAAACTACCATAGCGTCGTCAGATCTTCATGGAATTTCATGATTTAACTTGCTGCTGATAGAGGACAGCAACGCGCTCCAGATCCAATTTACAGATCACCGTTTGATTCAGTGACCAGATCGTTATCAATATTTGAAGCCGTTTGACGGAAATCCGACTGTGCTCTTTATCTCTTATGGCAGTGTCGCACTAGCACCCCAATTTTTTCTAGTGTGCCCACATTCAAGAGCGGCGCTCTTGAAGCCCCCCCCCTGCTATTTTAGCCGGTGCTTTTAACACCCACTCATTTCTTTTATATCCACCATAGGGTGTTATATACAGGGTTTTCAGTACAGCAATACCAAGCAAGCACACTGAAGCTTCCATATAAGTCGAGCACAAAAAGCAAAGAAACACACAGAAGCAGTAAGAACCATACCAATACACCGGCTAAGCACACTGGACTAGATAAAGGGTAACAAATAAACAGAGCCCAAGCCTAGCTAGTGCCTCTAAGGCAAGGCACGGGGTGTCCAGCATCCCCCAACCAATCACAGGTTAGCAACAGACGCCGTGATTCCCCCGCGCAGCTCCACACCATTCACTTTGATCGAAGCGTAGAACCCTCCGGGATTCGTGAAGAGGCCAGCGTCTACCAGCTTCTTGCCCTTGCCAATCGGCTTGTAAGGCTCAGCCACCTTAGCAGCCGCCCCGGCTAACCCGCAGTAGTAGGAACCAGGTGTGCCGATTGCTTTGAACGCGCAGGTGAACTCAATCAAGAGCTTGCCATCGGTGGTGTAGTAGGTGGGATTGGAGAAGGTTGGCTTGGGAGTGGGCGGCACGTTGTAGACAAAGAAGATGAAGTTGGTGGTCTGCTTGGACTCCGTGCTGCGAGATGATGGGCGGGACGGCCACACATGGGGATCCACACAGGTCGAGAACAGACGGGCATACGCAGATGGATTAGACTCCACACGTTCATCCCACAGTGCAGTTGGACACATATAGCATTGGAAGACCCAAAACGTATAGGATATGATACAAGCCCCCACACATGTATGTAGGACATCTGGGCAACTGGAATGATGGGTGTGCGCACTCACATGTTCACATCGACATAGAATTTGCCGGTCGAGTTACTGGCTTTCGTGTGGGGCATGGAGGAAGCGCGGTCTGCAAGGGGCAGGTCAGAAAGCACGGAGATGGTTTGGCGCGTGTGAAGGCAGCAGCACCCACGAGAGCAGGCAGCTGAGCGTGGCCTGGGCTTTGAGACAGCAGCACGCGGTAGTGGGAGACAAGTCTGTCGGTACTCGGGAGGTCAGCCATAAACGAGGAAGTCCAAGTGCAAGCGCAAGTGCATGTGCATGTGCATGTGCAAGTACATGTGCAAGTGCTTACATCTTAAGGGCGCATTGGGGTTGACAGTGCCGCTGCTCCCTCCGCTGCTTGTGTCTCCCTTGCTGTCGGTGCTCCCCCCATCCGAGGTGCCTTCCCCACTGCTCCCCCCACTGCTGGTGCTGCCCCCGCTGCTGGTGCTCCCCCGGCTGCTGGTGCCCCCCCCGCTGCTGGTGCCTCCCCCGTTGCTGGTGCTGCCCCCGCTGGCAGTGGCGGAGGTGGAGCCGGTGCTTATAACGGAGACATCAGCGCCATATGTGGTGCTGTTGCTGACGCTGGTGCTCATGGTGGTGGTCGTCGTCACAGTCGTCGTGCCGCCAAGCCCCTCCTGCAGCAAACGACGCCCGGCGGACATGGCGGAACAGAGGGAGACGCACAAGGAGAGAGAGAGCTCCACTGCAGGGGAAGCCAGAAGACAGGAAAGCAAAGGAGGCGCAAGGGAAGGGTTAGTTTGGGTGAGGTGCACGAAAGGGGTTTGCGTGCTGCCGTCATGCATGGCCGTGCGAGTCATGCATACTATGGCGAACAGCCCAAGTCCATGGCGCGAGGGCAGTGAGGGCAGTGCGGGCAGTGAGGGCAGTGAGGGCAGTGCAAGCAGTGAGGGTAGTGGAGCAAGCAGGGGACAAGGGGGTATGGAGCAAGGCAGGGGCCAAGGGGGTATGGAGCAAGGCAGGGGACAAGGGGGTATGGAGCAAGGCAGGGAACAAGTGGGTATGGAGCAAGGCAGGGGACAAGGGGGAATGCAGCAAGGCAGGGGACAAGGGGGTATGCAGCAAGGCAGGGGACAAGGAGGCGGGCGACTGGACGTGGCACTGCTGCTGGTCTCACAAAGTGGGTGAGCTGCTGGTCTCACAAAGTGGGTCAGCTGCTGGTCTCACAAAGTGGGTCAGCTGCTGGTCTCTGGTCTCACAAAGTGGGTGAGCTGCTGGTCTGACAATGTGGGTGAGCTGCTGGTCTCACAAAGTGGGTCAGCTGCTGGTCTCACAAAGTGGGTCAGCTGCTGGTCTCCCAGAGTGGGTCAGCTGCTGGTCTCACAGAGTGGGTCAGCTGCTGGTCTCACAGAGTGGGTCAGCTGCTGGTCTCATAGAGTGGGTCAGCTGCTGGTCTCACAGAGTGGGTCAGCTGCTGGTCTCACAGAGTGGGTCAGCTGCTGGTCTCAACGGCAGGGTGTCGCTCACCCCCTTCTTCTCTGCTCGTTCCCCTTTGGTTTGTTTCCATTTGACCTTCTTTATTCCTGTGACTCTCTGGCTGCTTCGCTTTCATTGTTCTGTTCCCCTAACCTCACTCTTTGCTCTTCTCCAATGATGCCCCCTAGCATGATCTCCAATAAGAACCCCTAGCATGTTCCCTCTCACACTTGACCTCTCCCTTTTCCCCTATATCTTATCCGTCCTGCCCTTGAATTGTCCCCCTTCATGTTGACCTCTCGCCCCCCTGGTTAGTGCCCCTCTCCTGGTTGGTTCCCCGTCACTTCATCACTTCTGCCTTTCCCCTGCCAGCCTTTCAACCTCGCATTTTTATTTGGCCTCTGCCCCTTCGCGTTTTCCTTTTCCCTTCGCCATTGCATTGCCGTGCAGATTCCCCGCGTGTGAAATGGGCCAAGGGTTGAGCGCGGGTACAGGTGGCATTTTGAAGCTGACACGCCAGCATGACATTGTCCGTGCCAAGCGACAAATGGCTTCAGGGTACACCCGGTGGAACCAGTGTCACATGTTTGTGTTTGTGGAGCAGTATTGCGTGAATATGTGATACAACTTTTCATTTTTCCCTACCAAGCCTGGTTTCTTTCTCCTGTTATGCCTCCTAGGACAATGGGGTGCTGTTCAGTAGGCCTAAACAAACGAGGGTAGTCATAATTCGCTTCGACCAACGCGAACGAGCATGACGATCCGATCCTACTTCCGCACGGCCCAAGAGCATCCCTTCACCAGTCGACATGGCAGCACCGCTTGGCGCACTGGTCGAGTTCCACGGCTCGCGCATTCTCCTGCACTGCCCGCTAGACCCCTCGCCCTGGTTGCGTCTTCCTCCGACACTGGCCCCATGGTTACCAGTTTCGCGAGACTCGCCTAAGAGGCTCGATCGTTTCGGTGAGCGAGAGAGCTGTGGGCAGCCTTGCGCCACCGTCCAAGCGGAGGACGCTCGCGACCGCTCTCCGCGTAACTCCCGACGCTCGCCGCATTCGCCGCGTGCACTGACCCACGCCGCCCACCTCGCTCCTTCTCGCCCCTCCCACCCCTCACCGCCTCGCGCTGCTGATTCTCTCGCTACGGCGCCCTCATCTGCTGTCGCTGCTGCTGCTGTTGCCGAACCTGTATCTCCTGGCGCAGCAATTGACCCCCGTGCTGTTGCTCTGGACCAGTCCGAGCCAACAGGTTCGGAACGAACCACACATCCTTTGACGACACCTCGCGATCTGCCCAGACCAACAGCCTCTGTCGCCGCTGTTCCCCCGGTCCTGGCGCTGCTGCATCAGCATGGTTGCCAAGCCTCGGGATCAGGTCTGGCGTGCAGGAGCGAGGCTTGATGGAGGCAGAGGTTGGGCATGTGCTTGTCGTCCGGGCAAGGGTCGAGGAAAGGGGGAGGAGGAAAGCAGAGGGGAGATGAGGAGGGAAGAGGAGAGGGGGCAGCGAAAGTGGAGGGAAAGGGGAGAGAACATGGCAGTGTTGGGGGTACAGAGGAGCAGGGGAAGGGAGAAAGAGCAGAGACGCTACTTGGTGTTCTGATTAGAGGGCCATGCGAGGGGCGTGGGCGAGAAGAGGAGACATGCTGGCGGTGACGGCGTGGAGAGGGGCGAGAAGCGGCAGAGAGTGTATGCGAGCATGGGGGGGAGCGCCACACCTTTCTCCCCCAGCCACGACCATGATCGCCACTCCTCCCATTGCTGTCCCTGTCTGCGCCTCTCCTTCCCCCTCCCCTCACCCATGCCAACCCCACATCCTGCTGTCGCTCTGCCATTCGCCCTCACTGCCATGTTAGCAGCATCTGACGTGGATGCCATCCTTGTATCGAGTCCCGAGGACCTTCCCGGCCTGCCTCTGCTGCTGCACCACCACCGCCGACACTACGCCCATGGACCGCCCCCATGGTGGGACTAGTCTAGCCTGGGCGAGGGAGGCGTGCGCAAACACGCCAATGTGGCTCTAGTTCATCTCGTCTGCCAACACCGCCTTGTATCCTTTCGTTCAACTACTGCGCTCTCCTCTCCCCCTCGCCCAATCAGGTGCTGTGCACCAAAGCCGCCCGGTGCGTTGTGAAGAAGTGGGCAGCGCTGATTCAAGCGAGGGGCGTGCTGGTTGGAGAGAGGGGCTTGGTTGTTGATTCGGCCGTGCATGACAAGGCGTCTGGTGATTCTGAGTCCCATGCTCCCCTCAGGTGAGCCTTGTTGGGCTGGGTGTGTTGAGGTGGTCACAGTTTCGTGTTGCAGAGAAGTCACAACGCATCAGGTGTCTTTTATGCAACTTTCCTCCCAACACGCACTTAGTTGTCCTCAGCTGCCCTGTTTCCCTGCCATGTTTCCTCCCATCCCTCCCCGTCTTGTCCCTCTTCCCCTCCCTTGCCTCTTGTCTCCCTCCCCTTGCCTCGTTTCTCTCTCTGCACCTGTGCCTCTGTGCCCCTGTGCCCCAGTGCACATGTGCCCCTGTGCCCCTGTGTCCATGTGCTGCTGTGCCCCTGTGCCCCTCTGCCCCTGTGCCCCTTTGACCCTGTGTCCATGTGCCCCTGTGCCCCTGTGCCCCTGTGCCCCTATGCCCCTGTGCCCGTGTTCCCCTATGCCCCTATGTCCTTGTGCCTCTGTGCCCTTGGGGGCACACTGTGCCCTTGGGGGCACAGGGGAACACGGGGGAAAACGAGTCGTACACGCATCTGAGGGAGGGAACATTGGTCCGTGAATTGCGGGAGACATGAGAGGAGGCGCAGAAGAACTGAAGGACAGGCCAAGACAACGGAGAGCAGACTGCTGCTACTGTTGCTGCAGCTCCCTATCCACTCTGGGACCTCTAGTCCCACCTCGGCTACCACCTGTACTCTTTGAGACAGCACCCCCAGGAGTAGCACCCCCTGACGCACCACCCTCAGAACCAGCACGCGCAGAGTCAGCACCCCCATAACCAGCACCCTAAGAGCCCACTGTCACCTGCTGCTAGTGCAGCTGCGACCGCTGAGGATGCTGCGGCTACGGCCGCTGAGGCTGGTGCGGCTGCTGCTGCTGCGGTGAGGGGGGAGGCTGTTGAGGTGCTTGGGTAACCGGGGCTGGGGGGAAGGTGCCACAGGGGCGGCAGGCACACCCCCAGTGACTGGGACCCCTGAGTCGGCAGACTCCCCCACTGACCGAACCGAGTGTAACGGGGTGGCGTATGAGACACTAGTCGGGGACGGGCGGAGTGGGAGGTGCGCGGCAGGCGGTGTAGGGGCAAGGAAGAGAGGAGGAGGAGGGATACTAGAGCCATGGTAAGGGAAGCAAATGTAGTAGGGAACCGTCTTGTCAAAGGTAATGTCACGCGAGTGGTAGAAATGGTGGTGTACTTGGGTGTAGAACAGCCAGCCAGGGGCGTCAAGCGGAAACCAAAGGAAGACACAAGGGAGAGTGCGGGCTGAGAGTTTGTCCGCACCAGTGGCGCGGACGTGAGCGAGGCTGCCCAAAACGTGGAATGCTGAGGCGTTTCCAGGGGGCCCAGTCTAGAGGAGGGTCGGCAAAACTAGTGGGCGCAATGAGCGCAGCCACAAGTTAAGCTCGCGAGCTGCGTAGCGGACTGCGAACGGCCACAAAAAATGGGGTGCACCAGCATGGACCAGGGAGGTGCGACCTACCTCCATGACCAGGCCGATGCATCGCTCAGCAACCCCATTCTACTGCGGGGAGTCCAGAAGCGTGTAAGTCTAGGTGATGCCCTCCAAATGGCAGAACACTCCAAGATGGCTAGAGTCAAGCTCGCCACCATGGACTGAGTGCAGACGAAGCAGGGGCATGCGGCGCTGGGTGCGGGTGGCGAGCAGCTGCGGGATGGGAGAATCAGGCATGTCGGCCTTCCTCTCCAGCGGAAACACCGTCGTGAAGTGCGTCAAGTTGTCAACAACGACTAGGAGGAAACGCTCCCTGCGAAGACCATGGAC